GGGTGCGGCCCTCCAGCCAGTTAGCAACCCATTTGACTGTGTGGGTGTCGACGCCACAGTCCCCTAGTTTTTTAATGAGAATGGGGTGAGAGACAGTGTCGAAGGCCTTCCTGAAGTCCAGAAAGACTGTGCCCACTACTACCCACCCCTGCATCTAATGATTTTGTGACCTGGTCTTAGAAGACCACCAGGATGGTCTGGCAAGACCTGCTTCTACTGAACTCATGTTGGTTGCCCCTAAGCATAACCTCCCCTGCTGGCCCCTCGTGGACATGTGCCAGGATAACTCTCTCAAAAAGCTAACCCAGGATCGAGGTAAGACTACCTGGCCTATAGTTTCCTGGGTCCTCCTTCCTCCCTTTTTTGAAAATCGGAACCACATTGGCCCTTTTCCAGTCCTCTGGCACCACACCAGAGCACCATGAGTGCTCGTAAAGCCGTGCCAGGGGTCCCACAATGACCTCTGCTAATTCCCTCAGCGCTCTGGGGTGGAGATCGTCAGGACCAGCTGATTTAAATATGTCCAGTCCCTCCAGAAGTTTCCTGACTAGGTCCTCACTGACCCTAGGCCTGGGTACGCCTCCCCCGTGGCCTGAGGGGGCCCCGGCGGACAGGCTGATCTGGTCCCTGTTCAGGAAAATAGAGGCAAAGAAATCGTTAAGTAGCTTAGCCTTGTCGTCCGGTGCGACAACCAGATTTCCTAGCGTGTCTTGCAGAGTCCCCACATTACCCGGTACCTTCTTTTTGCCCCTTATGTAATTAAAAAAGGACTTCTTGTTGTCCTTGATCTGGGTAGCTAGTCCCAGTTCTATCTCCGCCTTGGCCTTCCTGACCGCCCCCCTGCATCCCCGAGCAACTGAGGTATAGTCCTCCCTGGTGATGGCCCCTCCCTTTCATTGGGTGTACGCCTTCCTTTTAGCTAGGAGACATTCCCGTATGCTTTTGATGAGCCATGGGGGCTTTTGCGCCCTCTTGCCCCCTTTGATCCTTTTTGGGATTACCTCCCTTTGGGTTTGGAGGATCATCTCCTTAAGGAACGGCCACTCTGCTTGGACACCCGACTCCTTTCCCCTCCATGTACATGTGTGCATTTCAATTTCTACAAATGTATTCCCCATATCAACTTAATAGCCTTTCTCTGCACTTGTTACAGTTTCAGCTCATTTTGAGCATGAAAAAAGATTTCTCTCTTAATCCCCATTTAATCCTAGGCACTGTATTTGCTGCTGTTTTATCATATAGTATCATCTCCAGTTACAGATTTGTTAAAATATATTTGCTACTAGATGTACAATTTCATGTGCCAGCGTCTTCAAAATTCTGGAATGGAAATTATCCTGTCCCTCAGTTTGCAAATATTCATGTCCTTATTCCCATTATCCACCTTGTCTCTGATATCTTGTTTAACATCAATTTATTTATTGAAAATTGAGAAAAAACATATGATTGTATTATTCTATTAATTTAGCCTTTTAGCCATACCTATATTATAATAGGAATCATATAAAAATAAGAGGACATTCAAGAGGTCATCTAGTCCAACCTGTGTTTTAAGTAGGATTATCACTGTCTAAATCATCCCAGACAAATCTTTGCCACGCTAAACTTAGATATAGCTTAAGATGGAGACTCCAGAATCTCTTTG